TTTCACAAACTGATGATGGATATCAGCCGTTGATGTTTCAGATATTGCTTCGACGAAGATTGTAGAACGCCAACTGAACGGCGAGGAAGAACAAATAATAAATAGTTTTAGTCACTTTCTCTAGAAAAAAAACTTTCTGGTGCTAAAAGAAAAGAAAAAAACAATTTTAAATGAAATTTTCTTTTTTTTTTCTCAAGAATCATTACAATCTGCATGTTGTGTAGTCGGAAAGCAAATCGTACTGTCCAGGAATTAATGCAAGTTTTTCAGACGGAGAGAACACAAAACACTTTTCCCATCATCTGCATTTAACTGTCTTAGTTTCTCTCGCTTCATCTCTACTACTCACGTATATATATATATATATATATATATATATATATATATATATATATTTATATATATATATATATGTATTATATAAACATAACAAATGTCTTAAAAAATTGACGTCATTTGTTTACATTTGGGTACGCATCGAACAGATATGAAAGTACGAGAGAAATGTAGTTTAAAAACAGTAAACTCGACCTTGCTAACCGAAACGCTCCTCTGTGGCTTAATCGGTAAAAGCACGTCAGGCTATATGACGGTTCCGTATAGGATACAGGTTCGATTCCTGTCGGAGGACGCATATTTTCTATGAAAATTTCTCGGACATTCAGGCCGGTAAATGTCGTTAATACTGTTTATTATAAACAGAGCAATTACTCTACATATTTGTATCTATTAAAAGAACGTATAAACATAAAAAAATGTCTTTATATATATATATATATATATATATATATATATATATATATAATCCAAATCATATAGGCTTATCAAAATACAAAAAGAATTTAACGTATTTTGAGGCCAGCAGAATGATCTCTATCGCTGATGAGTGATATTTTGGGAAACTCTGGAGTCGGTCAAGATATAAACTTGATTATTCATTATTACAAATTTGTTGTATGCATACAAACAGATATATATATATATATATATATATATATATATATATATATATATATGTGTGTGTGTGTGTGTGTGTGTGTGTGTGTGTGATTATAAATTAAGTTTATAGCAATATACATATCTATCGTGGAAATTTAAAGTAAATACAGAGATCGGAAAGATATCCATCTTTTAAAAGTGTTCAGATGCATTTAACCCGTCACTGTTTTTAGCTATTTCCTTGCTTACCATTTCAAATATCTATCTAAGCACCCCGCACATTTCTCGTTTTTTTTTTGTTTTTTTTTGTTTTTTTTTTATTTCCGGTACGAAAACTGGAAATCGAACCGGTTAACCGCTACACCTTTCACCGGGCAATGATTACTACCCACGAAATAGAAACTAGTGAGAAAAAAAAAGAATGATCACACAAGCACAGACATATGCACTCACATACACACACACGTACACACATAAACACATATAGACATGCGCGCACACACACACACACACAGAGAGAGACACCCCCACACCAATAGCATCTATCCAGGTTTAGAGCCTGGGTATTTCCTACTTTCCAACTCATGTTACCCCCTATCAATTATTTCTGCTGTGTTCAAGTCAGTAGAATGCTTATTGAGCCATAAATAACCACGTGCCATTACGCGGCCTATATATTACGAAATGATCCAAAGGCAGAAAGATGATATCGAGGCTAAGGGAGAAAAGGTCAATCGATTGGCCAATGGCTTCATTGATTTACACACGTGACTCTAAACACACGGTCCAAAAACTATGAATGCAGCTCACACTTTCTTTCTTTCGTTCTTTCTTTCTTTCTTTCTCGTTCTCGTTTCATGTCAGTCATGGTTCTCCCTTATTTCCTGTCATTTGTTCGCACCTTTATATAAGAAGACATTATTGTTGGTGTTCTTGTTCTCTCATCCATTTACTCAAACTTGTCAAGTAGGTTACTCAATAACTTACACGGCTTCTTTTCAGTTTCTACCTAGTTTCTATTCAACAACACACACACACACACACACACACACACACACACACACATATATATATATATATATATATATATATATATATATATATATAAAAAAGTGAAAATTGAAGTCAAAACTTAGAGGTGGCAGGCTGTTTCATGCTAGATTATAGTTACACACGCTCTATCTCTGATATTGAGCACTTTATCCCATAAATATAGCAAATCTTAAGTCTATATTTCTTCATATATATATATATATATGTGTGTGTGTGTGTGTGTGTGTTGTGTTCTAATGAGGCTGATCTGAATAGAAACTACGTAGAAAATAAAGAGAAACCGCGGAACCCTGTACACACACACATATATATATATATATATATATATAGAGAGAGAGAGAGAGAGAGAGATAGACATACAGACAAAGAGAGAGACAAGTCAGACAGGGAGCGAATTAATACAAATATATATAAAATTTGTCACTTAGCTTGATTGATATTATTTTCAGCAAGTGTATGTGGTGGGGGTAGGTGAAGCAGGTCGGTGAGAGAAATTCGAAATAATAATAATAATAATAATCATAATAATAATAATATTTATTGTATATTAGACAAAATAGAAGCATGGGAAAAATGTTCAAAATCGGAATTTTCGGAAACGCCTGTGACCTTTGCACTTTTGGGGAAAGATTATTGTTCTGTAAATGTGTAGATTTATTTCTAGATTAGTATTAATATATATATATATATATATATATATATATATATATATATATATTAGAATATATATATATATTTTATATTCGAATATATATATTTATATTCGAATATATATATATATATTAGAATATACATATATATATATTTATATTCGAATATATATATTTATATTCGAATGTATATATATATATATTAGAATATACATATATATATTTATATTCGAATATATATATATACATATATATATATATATATATATATATTAGAATATGCAATATCATGTAATATTATATTGATCTACCTCTCTATCTGTTTCAGACTCATGCTGTTCATATCTATCTAACGAGCTAGCCATGTCTATGCGTATGTTCTTGATATCTCAGAAGTGTTTTTAACCAGTGACACTGAATGCACATATATATATATATATATATATATATATATATATATATATATATAATTTAAATAAAATATGAAATAAGCAATACTTATAGAGGGACTACGATACAGAGGCACACCGAAAAAAGAAATCCCTATATTCTTGTCTATAAATACTTGTTACAAAATAAAATCCTTGCATTTGCCTTATTAAATCTTTCTTTCCGAAATTTTACTCACGATCCAAGCTAGACCCAACCGGAACTCTATTCACACTGATAAGCTGTGATACAGCGAAACTGTCTGTCTGTGGCTGACAATATATATGGGCAAATAGTTAACCCTGAAACTGGGGTAAAAACACTATGAAAGTGTAAAAATAGGTTTTAATATCAGAAATACTTTAAAAAATTATTACCGGCAATAAGTTTTTGAAGAAAATAAACTATTACCAGCCATACATTTTTGAAAAAAAAAATTACCAACAATGTTTTTAAAAAAATAAATATTACTAGCAATACATTTTTGAAAAAAAAAAATTATCAGCAATACATTTCTGAAGAAAAAGTATTACCATAAATAGATTTTTGACAAAACAAAATATTACCAGCAATAAAAATTTTGTCAGCATTAAATAACCCATTGAGGTTGATATGCCGTAAAACAAACTAAATCAAACCAAATCTTTACTAGTCCTACGTGTGTGCCAGATGCAACACTATACCGTTTTCCTGTTTTACTTTCAGCGATTCTCTGGTTAAGTTGCGGTGAAGTTTTTTCGATGATTGTGTTCTCGACGTAATAGCTGAAAAGCCTGCATGTGCTCGCAATTAATGTGTTGATATTTATTTTGACGTTGACAAGCAGAGATATACATTCCATGGATACCACAATACAACGAACATCGTCACGGCTTCTCGTGCCTCACTTCTAACCCTAACCTAATCCTCCTATCGTGAAATGGGGATTGATAAATGACACTACTGTACATTATACGCTACAACGCAATGTTCTATTTTTTTTACGTCATGAGCCTCGCAAGGCCATCTTGTATATAAACGGATTTTTGTTTTTACTTACATCTCGGTGGTGTGTGTTTACCAGATCACTTAAGTAAGAGAAGAAACAAAGACGAATTAATGTCTCCGTTACACACACACACAGACAAACGAAAATACGTTACAAACGGAGACTTACATAACAGAACCTTATATATTAGCTTTATCATTATCATGATCATCAGTCGCATGACCGACTGAGGTTGTAGGATAAATGCGCATCTGACAACTTCATACCACTTATCTGGATCGGCCCATATCTAGGGAATTTGATGACAAAGAAGGTGTAAGTAAAGATTTAGACTCCGGGGAAACAGAGCGAGATATCCCTATATATGAACATCGGGGCAAGAACAATTACTGCGACCCCCACAGATTATGATGAGGAGTTTAGTTCGCAATCCCTTGATGGTTACGCAGGTGCACAGACACCTGAAAGAGTCCACAGGATACAACGGCCGAAACGTTAGAATAATAACAACAAAGATGAGGACAATAGTCCGAATGTAAGTAATGTAAGTAAATATAAATATAGGTAACTATACTCGTTTCGAAAAACCTTAAAATTTTTGATTTGCCAATAATCAAATCAATCTCGAAGGAAAAAAAAGGTTTTAAAAAAAGAAAAAGCTAGAAACATGAAAGTCTGTCGAAAAAAAATCGCACAGATACAGGTTTAAACCAAAAAGAAAAAACACCGACACGAGTAATCAACTAACTAACAAAATACAACCGTAGAGCAGACCTAGATAAACCTAGTGAGCCAGACAATCCTACCCAGGTAAATAATGATAACGCCCCATCCTTGAAATTAAAACATTAATTATACACACACACAGACACACACATATATATATATATTTATATATATGATTATTTTCTTTAAACCTTATTCTTGATGGATACTCATATTCGAATAGAACCTCTGTTTTTTAATTAAGCAGTTTTTTTTTTAATCCATCAACATCTACCGGCCTGAATATTAGAGAAATATTGTCAGAAAAATATGAACCCTCCGGTAGGATTCGAACCTGTGTCCTCTACGGAAAACCGTTAAGGTTGCTGAAATGCCCCAAAAAGCCCGAATAGTGTGATAGATATGAAAATTTCTCAGAGTTAACCTCTAGAAAAGACAATTTTTATAAATATAAATGACAATAGGAAAACTGTAATAGTTACCGACGCGTTTCGTCCAATGTAGACTTTCTCAGAAGGAAAATCCTTGAGAGTGCTGCCATTGAATATTACCCAAATATTAATCTACGCCCAGGCTTTTTCCTTATTTCACCTTTCTTAACAGAATTGCTACTCTCCCAAACAAACGTACACAACAATATCGTGAAATCAAAAGAAAATGGTTGATTCCGTCAACACAGCAATAATAACAATATTTCCACACGTGACAGTAATTGACGTAATTTTCAGTTAACAGTATGAAAATAGCGTTCTCTAAATTCTCCCAGTTGCTAAGGACATTTTTGTTTTTGTTATTATTAGTTACTTTGTTTAAATAAATTCATTTCGTTTTTTGCTTTGAGAAAATCCACATTGGACGAAACGCGTCGGCGACTATTACAGTTTTCCTATTGTCATGTGTGTGTGTGTATATATATATATATATATATATATATATATATATATCACTTTAAATGTTAGTTTGACGCTCCGTTTATTTATTAAACAGTAAATTTATTTATTTTTGTCTACTGGCCTGAATATTCAAGATATCTTATTAAAGAAATTGTTGTGTTTCCCGTCAGGATTCGAACCTACCTATTCACCACAAGGCAGAGTGGGGGGGGGGGTTGCGTAGGTTAGCCCGTTAGATCCGACGTGCCTAAGAAGATTTGCCGATCAAGCAAGGTCTGAACACACACACACACACACACACACACACACACACACATATATATATATATATATATATATATATATATATTTCTCGCCCACAGTGTTATTAAATCCGTCGATCGATGATAGCACTGACCTAATTGTGGAAAAAACTTCTTTCTTTTTTTTCTGATCAGTGTTGGGATGGAAACAGATGGGAGAGTTGGTCGTAGGTTTTTGCCTAAAGTACTTTTATCAGGCAGCATTAATCTATCAATGTGAACATGTAACCTGCTCTCTGCGATCCCAGGATTATACACTGTGTACACCTTTTATTCGGGCGAGCCTCCAACTTGAGAACAATCTCGGTTGAGCACGCAACCCACCCGGGTATGCCTTCATTGACAATGGATAAATATGAGATGCGGTCAGTATTTTAGTGATCGACCCGTCAATCAATTCAACGTCGCATTTTCTGTTGCGTCATGCAAAGATAGCCTGGTTACCTTGTCCAATACTGCAGACATCAAGGTGTATACTTGACCTTAATGCAGAATTGACCTTTGTGCGATATACTCGAGTTCACGAGGCATAGATACATTTTTTAAGTTCAGTTAGTGTCTCGTCAAGTTTGATTCATTTACGGGGAAAGAGTACCGATGTAAAAGTTTTTTTTTTACTCCTTTTTTGTCAGGGATTTCAGACAGAATTCTGTTTTCACTCTTTCATTCGTGAAATTCAAAAAGGGCATTGATCGCGTAGATTTTACTCTTCAAATACATACGAATAGATAGATAGATAGATAGATAGATAGATAGATAGATAGATAGATTGATAGATAGATAGATAGATAGATAGATAGATACGAATTGTGAGATAGATGTGAAGAGACTAAGATAGATACAAATAGGGTGAGGTAGATAGATACGAATAGATAGATAGAAAGCTATGAAGAGATTAATATAGACAGATAAATAGACAAGAATCTCTCTCTCTCTCTCTCTATATATATATATATATATATATATATATATATACGAATAGTGAGATAGATATGAAGAGACAAAGATAGAAGATAGATAGCTGATAGATACGAGTAGTGAGATAGATAGATAGATAGATCGAATAGAGTGAGGTAGATAGATACGAATAGAGATAGAAACGAATAGTGAAATAGATTTATAGATTTTAAGAGACTAAGATAGATAGATAGATAGATAGATAGATAGATAGATAGATAGATAGATGGATAGATAGATAAATACGAATAGATATGATGAAAATGAAAAAGCTAGTTTTTGAAGGATTCAGAAATGTAGGACGTTAAGAAATGACTCGCAAATATTGACCGATGCAGTTCGCCGTCGAGAAGTATCAAGATGTGAATTGTGCTCCTAGGACCTCTTAAATTTAGTTTCAATAAAGTATCGGGCAATTCTCATTAAATATGGCAACTCTATTTCTTATTTTGGCTGATACTCATTGCAGCAACTGCGTCAAATCAAATGAGTAAAAATTGACTTGGATCCCGTAAAAATGTCAGAAAGTGATGTCCACTTACAAAATCATGGTGAAAGGGCAT